CTCCCTCCCTTTCTCTCTCTCTCTCTCTCTCTCTCTCTCTCTCTCTCTCTTTCTCCCTCTCCCCTCTCTCCTGCCCTCCCGTTCCTGCTGCTCCCTGTCAGGATGGACTGTTACTGGGAACTGTGAGCCCAAATTAGCCGTTCCATCCAGGTGGCTTTGTCACAGCATCAAACAAGTGATCAACACACTGGTCTTCTGAGCACACCTCTGGGTAGATTACCCCCTGCTGTGTTAGATTGGAACTAGATATTTGCACGCTAAACCTGAGAGCCATTGACCTGCATTTCCATCTAACAGACTTTCTGCAGTGGTGGAAAGTGCTCTCTGTCTGTGTTGTCCTATATAGCAGGCACCAGTGACCTTTGACTCACTGTGGTCTTGAGGTTTTTAAAATTTTATTTATTTATCTTGTGACAGTGTCTCTGTATGTAGCTCTGGCTAGCCTGGAAGTAGCTAAATAGGTCAGGCTGGCCTTAAACTCCACCTGCCTCTGCCTTTCGAGTGCTGGGATTAAAGGGGTGCCCAGCCCTGTAGTATTGATTTTTTTTTTTTTTTTTTTTTTGTATATAAGTACTTTGTAGGTGTCTTCAAACACCAGAAGAGGGCATTGGATCCCATTACAAATGGTTTGAGCTACCACGTGGTTGCTGGGAATTGAACTCAGGACCTCTGGAAGAGCAGCTAATGTTCTTAACCACTGAGCCATCCCTCCAAGCCCCCTGTATTGAATATTTTTAAATGTATCTATTAATTATTAGTGTGTGTGTGCATGCACATGTACAACGCATATATATGTACGTGTGTGCACAAATGCATTCAAGCACTCAAGCAGACATGCATTGGTGCACATACCACAGCACGCATGTGGAGGTTGGAGAATGACTCTGTGGAATCGGCTCTTTCCTTCCACTTGAGTTCCAGAGATCAAACTCAGACTTGTGCAACAAGCACCTTTACCCTGTTGAGCCATCTTGCCGGCCCTAGAATTCTTACTATCACTTTGACTAGTTTGAATTTAATTTTGCATTGATACATGTGGCTTGAGGCCTCCACCCTGGTAGACCTGGAGAACCAGTGGTTCTTTATGAGGTTTGGCGAGACTGCATATACAGTGTGTTTAGATCCCTTTCTCCCTCTCCCAGGGACTCATTACCAAGGTCGCCACAGCTGAGGCTATTGATGAGGGGCTAAAAGCTTGGGGAGGGAAGACAACAGAGTGAAAACCAGAGCTAAAGAGGTGTGGCTGGGCAGGAAGGGTGCTGGCCGAGAGACTGGGGTTCAAGGGAACATTGAAGATTGCTATGCTGACTAATCTTAGATTAGGGATGGGCTAGCAGATCAGTGAAGTGCCTGCATAGAGGATTAGCTAAGCAGGGAGGATCCTCTCTGCAGCGGGAGTACCATCTTTTAGACTGATGGCGCTGATAAGGAATAAAAAGAAGGAAAAAAAAATAGAAAGCCTGTGTCAGGTGCACTAAACAGATGAGCCATCTTCTTCTCAGACTCTTTTGTTTGTTTGTTTTTGTTTTTTCAAAACAGGGTTTCTCTATGTAGCCCTGGCTGTCCTCGAACTCAGAAATCTGCTTGCCTCTGCCTCCCAGGTGCTAAGATCAAAGGCATGCACCACCACTGCCTGGCCTTCCCAGACTCTTAACGGAATCTTTTCAACCTCCACTGGCCCTTCATGCCACAGGAGAGAGTCCCATTAGCCCCCAGCCTCCACTGTATACTTCACTTACTGGCGATTGTGAAGTTGAAATTCTGACTGTATTTCAACGAGTTGGAAACGTTGGTTTTGCATTTGTAGGGGCCTGTCTTGTTGGTATTGGAGATCCTCAGGTAGAAATCCACAGTTCCGCCTCTTCTTGTCTTACTTTCTAGGTATTTCGAACCCAAAAAGAGCGAATAGGTGATGTCTACTGATGTGTTCTTGGTGGAACAAGACAGAGATACATTTTGGCCCATCCTGACCACATTCATACTTGAGTTCAGATTTGGAGAAGGTAATTCTGGGAAGACAAAATGACACAGAAGCCTTCATTAAAACCACTGGACAGGGCTGGAACTGCAGCTTTCGTGGGGAATGCTTGTCTAGCATGCATAATGAAGTCCTGGATTCCATCCTGAACACAGCTTTGATTGGGCGTCATGCCTAAAATTCCAGCTCTTGGGAGATGGCAGCAAGAAGGATCAGGAGTTCAGGGCTATCCTTAGCCGTACAGGGAGTTCAAAGCCAGGCTGGGCTACATGAGACCCAGAGTGATAGTTATTTCTGTGTAAGGCTTACAGGATCTAGAATCACCTAGGAGATTGCCTCTGGATGTGTTTGGGAGGAAGTTCCTAGACTGGATTAACTGAAGTGGGAAGACTCACCCTGGATGTGTATGGCCCATCAGAGGTCTAGGTTCCCAGACTGAATAAAAAAAAAACCACCAGGGAGGGGCTGGAGAGATGGCTCAGCAGTTAAGAGCAACTCCTTCTCTTCTAGAGGTCCTGAGTTCAAATCCCAGCAACCACATGGTGGCTCACAACCATCTGTCATGTGATCCGATATCCTCTTCTGGTGTGTGTCTGAAGTCTGAAGACAGCTGCAGTGTACTCATATAAATAAAACAAATAAAATCTTAAAAAAGCAAAAAACAAAAAAAAAAAACACTAGGGAGACAAGGAGTCAAGCATCCACTGCAGAGGAATTTTAATCTAGCTACAAGGCTGCTCTGGTAAGGGATTATATCCTAAGACCTTCTAGGTCTGTGTGATCTGGCTGGAATACAGACAAACCTTTAATCCGAGGAGACAGAGGCAAGTGATCTCTGCATTCAAGGCCAGCCTGGTGTAAAGCAAGTTTCAGGTAAATAAACGATTAGGTCCAGTTGCTGTGCTACATGCCTTTATCCTAGCACTCAGAGGACAGAGGCATGCAGATCTCTGAGCTCAAGTCAATTTGATTGAGACCTTGAGTTGAGAAGCAGTACCAGTGGAGTTCAGGGCTGTTCAGTTCACCGAGTTCAGAGGCAGTTTTACCGGGACAGTTACAGTGAGACAGGTTACAGAGAGAGATCAAGCTAGACACAAGTGGAGACAGAACGAACCAGAGATGAGAAGGAGCCAGAAGATTAGAACATAATATCAAAGTTAGCATAAGGCCAAGCAGAGCAATGCAGTAAGAAACTGTGAGAAGCCAGAATGAATCCGTCAGCCTGGAGAGGAATTTGAGCCAGAACAGCTGAATTAACCAGCCAGGCAGAGTTCAGAAAGAGCTAGAAAGAGTGATCTTACTCAGTCTCAGAGGCTGAAAACATTCTAGACCTAGATAAGATCATATGGAGGCTAGAAGCTTCCAGAACCAGGCCTGGGTTAGCAAACTGAAGCAGGAAGCCTCAGAGAGGACAATTAAATCAGGCAAATAAAAGATACTTTAACAATCCACAGTCACCTTGAAGAGGTCAGCTCGGGCACTTTGGAAAGGTCATGGGACACTAGCTGGATGGGAGAGGCTAATTAACATTCCTCCAGCAAAGGATACTTGCTGAATTAACTTGCCTCAGTCAGAGGAAAAAGGAAGAGGCTGATTAACATTCCTCAGACCTCGTAGAAGGGAACCGCATAGAAGGTGGGAAGGCCCAGAGCAAGTAGACACATTCCACAGGATGGACCAACCCTTGATACCTGCAGACAAGGGAAGTCCTTGCCACCTCATACCCTAAAGACCAATCAGTTTAAAAGTCAAACTGTTCTGCTAATTACATTGTGCCTAGTCACTGTTTCTCTAGTCGATCCCTTAAACTGTACAAAAACTGACCGAATGGGCTGCCAGGGTCGCTGCCTCTCCTTCGGGTGCAGGACGACCCACGACCCCAATGCATTGGATCATTAAAATTCCTCTTGGTTTTTGCATGGATTAACATCTGCATGTGGTTCACTCAGGGGTCTCTGGTAAACTAAGGCTCACTAGAGTCTTTCAACCTCTCTCTGTTTCTGTTCTCTGTGGATTCTATGTGATCAGCTGCCTCAGGTCCCCGACATCATGAACTCCCAGCCATCATGGGCCGTATCTCCCCTTGAGCAGTGAGCCCAGGTTGACCCTTCCTTCCTCCAGTTGCTTCCTGTCAGATATTTGCTTGAATCTTTCATTTCTCACAGTAGTGAGAAAAGCAATGCACCCCTTTTCAAGGTGAAAGCAAACACCTTAGGGAAACTGTTCCCTCGAGTCAACCCCAGTCTTTCCTTTGTTCTTTAGGTGTGTCATGTCTCAATGTTTTTGATTGACTCCCACAGGGGATTTAACCTCCCATTATGACACACTGCTGGGATGCCCCCTGCTTACCCAGGATCTTTCTTTCTCCTGTAATTTCAGGACTTGGAGGATAGAGGCAGATGAACAGAATTCAAGGTTAGTCTATGCTGACCTAGTGGATTTTAGGCCAGCCTGGGCTACATGAGACTGCCTTTGGTAAGGCCTTGTAGACCTCCCTAAACTCTGTCTGCTGTGGCTTTGGTAGCCAGTCTGTAAGCTGGTGTACATACATGCTCATGTGTGTACTTACTGTAAGATGTGTAGTATATCCTCTGAGAGTTAATATTAAATTTAAAATTGGATTGGGAGGCATAGGCAGGAGGATTCCTGAGTTCGAGGCCAGCCTGGTCTACAGAGTGAGTTCCAGGATAGCCCGGGCTATACAGAGAAACCCTGTCTCAAAAAAACAAAAAAACAATCCCAGCACTTGGGAGGCAGAGGCAGGTGGATTTCTGAGTTCGAGAGTTCAAGGCTAGCCTGGTCTATAGAGTGAGTTCCAGGACAGCTAGGGCTACACAGAGAAACCCTGTCTCGAAAAACAAAACAAAACAAAAATTTTAATTGGAGTAAAAGAACTCGTGTTTGCTAACTGCCAGCTAGCAAAAGAAATCAGGACTGCTCGCAAAATGACAGCCAAGAAAACTGACACAGCTTGTGAATTTATTGCTATTCAATAAACTCTGACACCACAGACACAAAGATGTCCATCTAGGCTGCGACATTGTGTGCTCACCCACACTCAGGACTTAACAGGCTGAAGCAGGAGGATTCCTAGGAGTTCAACATTAGCCTTAGCTACATAGTGAGTTCTAGGCTATGTAGCAATAACTTATCACAAATAGGTCGAATGAAGAGACTGCTTGCTTCTGGAAGGGAAGGAAAGACAAGCTGTACACAGTGGAACTTTCAACTTTATGTGGTTGGCTTGCACCGAAGGACTGATGTACTGACTACAGAAGAACCAAGTTTGGGGCATTCCTGCTTACTGATGAAAGAAATCACCCTCAAAAGACATCAGTTCATGTGCCCAGGTTGCCAGCTGGGCAGCAGCATGCCAGGCTCAGCTACAAAGCTCTCTGACTTCACTGTAGACTTCTTCCTAGGCATAGTACTCGTTGCATGGGTTAATTTAAAAGGTGCGTTGAGTGGGCATGGTGGGCTGGATCCCAGCATTTGGGAGCTTAGGAGTTCTAGTCTAGCCTCAGCCACACAATGGAGTTTGAGGTCAGCCTGAGCTACAGGAGACTCAGCCTCAAAAGTAAATAAATACCTAACAATTTAGAAGGTTACATGAGGATTTTCTAGCTAAAAGTGATAACAAAGGAGGTTTGGAAGTTTTCATGGTAAAAACAGTTTCAAGATTTTGCCACCAAGTTTCAGGTGGGAAAAAAAATGGTATAATTAAGGCCCTCTCGGAAAGTCAGCTCATTTCCCTCCTAGGTTACAGAAAGGCTTTGCTCTTGGATGCCAATCTAAAAGCACAGAAACCCCCATAAGTGAACGCTCATGTTCAAAGTCAGCAACCCAACCATTTTGATGCACACACTTTCAGGAAATGAAACTTATCTTTAGGAAATGAAACTTGCCGTTGATTTCCACTCTCCTACCATCCACTGCAGCGTTTTGAACTGAAAGAGAAAAGATTAGAAAAAGAGTTCATTTCCCACATGATTATTTTGAGAGCTGATTCAAGGTCTCTCTAAGTAGCCCTGGCTGGCCAGGAACTCTCTGTGTAGACCAGGCTGGCTTCACAGAGATCCACCTGCCTTTACCTCCCAAGCGCTGGTCCAAGAGTCAATTCCTAAAATACCGAATCAGGCTTACGTGTGATGGAAGGAATAAGAGCCCAGAGTAACAGTTTGTCCAGCCAGGTCCTCATTCCCTGGAATGAGATGACAGAGAGGCACATGGGAGAGTCGCCATCGCCCATGGTTAATTGAGCTACTACAGACCGGGGCTCGGTTTCTAAGATTCCTCTTCCCCATCACATGCAGGAAATGAGAGAGTTAGACAAGTTTACTCAACAGGACACATGACTCGTTGGTTTAACTGTCCTTTATATTACTAGAACAGCTGCTCAACAGCTGCTCAGACCGCAAGGCCTCCCATCTCACTTGGATCTGTTTAGTGATAACGGATCTCTCTCTCTCTCTCTCTCTCTCTCTCTCTCTCTCTCTCTCTCTCTCTCCTTCCCTCCCTCCTCATGCTGTGATGCTAAAGTTATGTTTTAAGTTTAAATTACAGTGATTAAGAGGTCTTTAAAAGTAAGAAATGCCTCTAACACGTAAGCCTCACTGACCCGAGCACAGCTAACTTCCTGGCATGCCGTCTGCTGTCGTTCACATCTGATAACAAGTCCCTTGTTTTCAATTCTTTAAACAAGCTTGGTTACCCCAACTGCACAGGATATGCTTGATCACATGTAGGCTGGAGGTACTTAAGCGGAGAGTATGTCAGGATGTATGCTTGCCCCCGATTGGACAAAGGCAGAAAGTATGTGTAGCCTTGTGGGTTTGCCTTTCTTTATAAACTTCTGATTAATGTACTTTGGTGACATACTCTGAGAATCTCGAGGATGGATCTGACCAGGGCTCATTGTCTTAGTCAATATTGCTTGCTTCAATTTTGGCTCAAAAATTGTGATAGTGTTCTTACTCTTACCCAATGGGGTTAACGTTAACACACACACACACACACTTCCTAGCTGCCTATGAGGTGAACTAGAGGTTCCAGAGGTATAAGGCACATCCATACACACAGCCTGAAGATAATCGAAGGAGGGATTCAGAGAGTCCCTTGGGACACTACTCTCAGGTCAGCGTGTTCAGACCGGAATTTCAGCAACACTGCTTTCAGCTCCTCACACCTCGGGAGGTAAGTCACACCAGGCTGCTCTCTGTGAGACCCTCTGTCTCCATGACATACAAGGAAACCTGAGGGTCACCTTAATGGAGCCGGCTGGAGTCACAGCCACACACATGTTAATGTTAGCATCCTAGTGGGGGAATCTGGCTGTGCATGGGAAATGGGCTGCTTGGGGATTTTGTTTTGTTTTTGTTTTTGTTTTTGTTTTTGTTTTTGTTTTTCAAGTCAACTTGACACAAATGAGAGTCACTTGGAAGGAGGGAACCTCAACTGAGGGAATCTCTTTCTCCTTCAGATTGACGAATGGGTGGAATTTCTCCCTTGTTGTGTATGTGCTGAGGAAGTTGTGGATTTGTGAACATTTTGGGTGCTGAATTTTTCAGATTAGGGCCGCTCGCCTCATGCTGTGATGGCTGTTTCCTTCACTAAATAAAGCAAGAGAACATGAGCTGGCTGCAGTGGCACATACTTGTAATCCCAGAGATCAGGAGGCAGAGGCAAGAGGGTCAACAGTTTAAGACCACCAGCTGTATATTGAATCTGAGGCCAGCCTGGGGTACATGAGACTGTCTGACAAAAAAAAGAAAAAGGAGGAAGTGGGAGAGAGAAGTGATGGGGTACAGCTAGTCCAGATGGCAAAGACCTATAATCCCAGTGCTAGAAAGATGGGGCAGAAAGTTGGAAGTTCAAGACTAGGCTAGCTCCTGGCCAACCTGGGCTACATAGCAAGATCCTGTCTAAAATCCAGACAGACACAGACAACTGACTGTTCATTAAATTACAAAAAAGAAAAAAGTTTGACGGAAAAGCCCTATGAGTTTTATTTTTAAGGGATGATTCTTCTCAAGTTCTCTCAGGGAGCCATGGCGGTATACTCCTACTGAGAGACTGTGTCTGTGCAGGGGTGGAGAGGCCAATACTACAGCATCACGGGCATTGGAATCCAATTAGTATTGGATGAAAATGAGTCTGGACTCCAGATTTTTAGACGCTTTGACTGGAATGACAGCTTGTCATTGATGTTACCTGGAGTGAAAACAATGAACATGTCCTTGTCACCTGTAGCAATGATGGCTCACTGAAGCTCTGGGACACTGACAAAGCCACAGGGCCTCTCCAAGTCTAAAGTCCAAAGTCCACACACTTAGGTGTATAGTATTGTTTGGAGCCAGACCAGAGCTGAACAACCTGTAGTGTCTGGCTCATGGGATCAAACTGTCAAAGTGTGGGATCCAACTGTTGGAAATTCTCTGTGTACCTTAAGAGGCCATGAGAGTGTTGTTTACAGCACAATCTGGTCTCCCCGCATCCCTGGTTGTTTTGCCTCAGGTGATCAGACTTTGAGGATTTGGGATGTGAAGACTACTGGAGTCTGAATTGTAATCCAGCACATCAGACAGAAACACTGAGTCGTGACTGGTATAAATACAATGAGAATTTGGTGGTGACAGGCGCGATTGACTGTAGCTTGAGAGGCTGGGACTTAAGGAATGTGTGACAGCCTGTATTTGAACTTCTCTGTCACGTGTATGCTATTAGGAGGGTGAAATTTTCACTGTTTCATGCCTCTGTGCTGGCCTCTTGTTCCTATGATTTCACTGTAAGATTCTGGAATTTTTCAAAGCCTGATCCTCTTCTGGAAACAGTAGAGCATCACACAGGGTTTACTTGTGACTTAGACCAAAGTTTCCAGAGCCCCACTGAGGTAGCTGACTGCTCCTGGGATGAGACCATACAGATCTGTGACCCTGTTTGTCTCTCCGTTCCTCGTTAAGACACACTGCTCTAGTCAGAAACAGATAGTGACTGATGGACTACTAAACATCAGAACATTGACTACTGAAAGAATAGAATTAGGCCTTTGTATGTACTGAGATTTCAGAACTCTCAGACTTACATGGAAGTCAGTTTAGAGATATCTGATAAAGACATTGTATCATATTGTAATCCTGGTACATAAGCCATGTTTTCTGAAATCCTAAAGAATAATTATTGTTATAATATATCTTATCTGGTGGCACACATCTTTAATCCCAGCACTTGGGAGGCAGAGGCAGGCAGATGTCTGAGTTCGAGGCCAGACTGGTCTACAGAGTGAGTTTCAGGACAGCAAAGGCTATACAGAGAAACCCTGTCTCAAAAAACCAAATAATAATAATGATGTATCTTGTCATATCTATTAAAATGTTATCTCTGTATTGTAAAATGATATAAAATATGGGAGGTTAGTAGATTACATGGGCAGTAATATATTTTATTATTAATTTGTCATTTTGGATGTAAAATAAAATCACTCCGATTGATAAAAATAAAAATAGACTGTGTTTCTTGATCATATATCATTTATGACATGTCAGTGAGGTTGCCTTTTAAAAATGTACTATGTGTATGGATATAATTTTATATTTAATGTAGATGCAGCTGATGTTCATAAATAAATGCTAACATAGATTTTAAAAAAGGGGATAATTTTCATCTATAGTCGAAATGGAGTTGAAGGTTTGAAGACATTTCTATGTAAATGTATTATTCTAGGCATTATTATTTTATATGTATGGGTGGTCTGCCTGGATGTAGGTCTGTGCACAATATGTATGCATGCCTAGTACCTTAAGACTTCAGATCTCGCTGGGCGGTGGTGGCGCACGCCTTTAATCCCAGCACTTGGGAGGCAGAGGCAGGCGGATTTCTGAGTTCGAGGCCAGCCTGGTCTACAGAGTGAGTTCCAGGACAGCCCGGGCTATACAGAGAAACCCTGTTTCGAAAAACAAAAACAAACAAACAAACAAACAAACAAACAAAAAAAGACTTCAGATCTCCTGGGACTGCAGTTATAAATAGTTTTAAACTGTCATCTGGGTGCTGGGGATCAAACTTCTGTAAGAGTGTCCGGTGCTCTTAACCCCTGAGCTGTCTCTCCAGCCCTGTTCTGATGTTGCTTGTTTACTTGTTTTGAGACTGAGTCTCACTATGTAGCTCTGACTGTCTTGGAACCTGCTCTATGGACAAGGCTGGTCTGGAACTCACAGAGATCCACCTGCCTCTGCCTCCTGAGTGCTAGAGGCATGAGCCATCACACCTGGTAGAATTTCATTTGACTCCTTCCCACAGGTTGACCCAGTCTGTCTTGCTTGGGCAGAGGGAAGTGCTGGGTCTGAGACTTTGTATGAAAAGATGCCATTTCTGGGCATTCGTAAGTTTGGAAACCAGCAGGAAGTTTGCTGACAGATGATGTCACACAGAAACCGCAGATGGCATCAGGGAAAATGCTGCCCACAGCTGTTGACAAACATTGGTAAGGTGCCTAAAAAACATTGCTAGGCCCCACAAAAAAGGCAGATGCTTGTCAGAGATGGGATGATAAATCTGAGGTGAAGAATGGCTTTGCAAAAGAGAAGTTCATCCTTGGACCTAACACATCCCCTTAGGCCAAAACTCATGCTAAGTTCAAGGCTTCAGGGTTCATGATGCTGTACCATACAGCTATGAGAGACAGCAATAAACATAACAGGATACAGCCGAGGGGTCCTCTCTGCTGAGTGACAAACCTCTATTGATGACCTCATTCAGTCTTTAGGAAGTCTCTAGTTATTCTGCAGAAGCATTATGGGAAATACTTAACAGACAGTAAAGACATATACGTATATAGTTCAATATATATAAAAAATTTAATGATGATGTGTTTGATGTGTTCTTGGGTTTGGTTTGCAAGTATTTTATTAAGTATTTTTGCATCAATGTTCATAAGGGAAATTGGTCTGCAATTCTCTTTCTTTGTTAAGTCTTTGTGTGGTTTAGCTATCAGGGTGACTCTGGCCTCATAGAATGAGTTTCGCAGTGTTCCTTCTGTTTTCATTGTGTGGAATAGTTTGAAGAGCATTAGCTCTTCTTTGAAAGTTTGGGAGAATTCTTCACTAAAGCCTGGGCTTTTTTTTTTTTTTTTTTTTTTGTTGGGAGACTTTGAATGACTGCTTCTATTTCCTTAGGGATTATAGGGCTGTTAATAGTTTATCTGATCTTGATTTAACTTCGGTACTTAGTATCTGTTACAGAATGATCCATTTCTTTTAGATTTTCCAGTTTTGGGAGTACAGGCTTTTGAAGTAAGACCTGGTGATTCTTTGAATTTCCTCAGTG